ATTTTTTGAGTAATATGTTTGACCAACGAAAATTCTTAATATTTATTTCTAAAAAAATTACTAACAATAAATAGATTTAAACATACCAATCTGTCTAGCATATATACATATATGAAGTAAACTTAATCTTCGCATTTGACTTTTAACAATCTCCAATCTAACATTTTGATCATTAATAATGATATTTTTACTTATTGTATCGTATGAAAAATTCATACTCCAAAACAATATTTCAAAAAATATTATTGATATTGCATTTATAGATAAACAAAAGTTATTTTTTCATTTATCGTGACCAATATTTACAAAATTTGACCAATAAAATCAAATTAGAAGATTAAATCTAGACAAAAGTAGTACTATGAAAGGCTTTGACGCTTAATGATATTTTATGCAATTGAATAAAATTAAAATTCATATTTGTGACTAACAAAAAATTCTAAATCAACATCCAAAGAATATAATTATATCGAGGATGTGATAGAATTATTCTCTCTTATAAAATATAAATTACTTATGGTAAAAATATATATGTTCAATTCAGCGTTTTTTTTAAATGAAACAGATAATGAAATAATACTGTAACACCCCAACTCGCGTAACCCAAACCAAGGAGTTAACGAATCCGGTTGCTACTAAATTGGTAGTCACAACACAACAATTTTGACAGTTTATTCAAAAACATTCAAACACCAATTTAAATACGAAAAGTCCGACGTAAAGTCCATCATGTGCGGAAGCATTAAAATAACATTCTACAAACAAGTTTAATTCAAATAATTAATAATGCAATAATTAATGTTCATAATTAAAAATAGTGACGTCATCCACTGCATCATGTATCAATGTTCTCCGGGCTGACTCTCATGATCCATAACCCTACTTGCGTGCAGTCAAAGACAACAAGACTACACGCTCAGCTGAAAGCTGAGTGAGGAAAATATCTAACGCTAAAATTAACTTCACAGATAGTATCCCATTTATATAATCAACAACATCAGTAAACAATCAACATTTATTTCCAGGTACAAGGATACAACAATTCCAATTCATTTATTTCCAAAAGGCTATTTCTGTCCCAACAACACTAAGGCTAAATTCAACAGACTAGAGTTACGGACACTCGAGCGGATCCCTCGAGGCCAATGCTCGGACAAACCCAAAGAGAATCCTCAGTGACTCATGTACGTACCTTTTGAACCCTAGACCACTGGATATGCAAACATGCTCCACAAGGCCCGAATCTAACAACAGTCCTATTGGTGATTAAACTATCCAATTCAATTCAGATCCGCCTAGGTATACTAGGTGGCCAATTTTCAATAGATTTCTCAAGTGATAACAATCACTTAAACATTTACATAAATAGAACAACACATTCAGCGGCCTATCGGAAGAATCACTTCTCCCGATTACCGTCATGCTCAAACAACACGTTTAAGCCCAACGATATTTAAATAACTTACCTGTGTCACGAACTCGGGACTAAGGACTTATCCTCAGGCCTACCACACCCATCGGAACAGTATCAATTTCCACCGGACCGACAAGGCAAACCCGACCCGCTGCCCCAATTGGGAAGCCCCTCACTGCCGCCCCAAATAGCCCGGTCAACCGTCCCGGGCAGCCCCACCAACCAGCCCAAACAGCCGGCCCGGCAGCCTAGACAACCCGGACAGCCCCCGACTGCCTGGACAGCCCCAATTGATTCCCTAACCGAACCATTTGCATAAAAAACCAGTCCAATCGGAACCCAATTGCACAAGCACTAACCCAATTTGGACCCGAGTTGACCCGATTGAAGCAATTGGATCCAAATCACACCAATTGGGTCCCAATTGAACCCGCCGGAGATGTCCCGCATGTTGGCCTCAGCCACCGCCGGCCAGCCGCCAGCGAGTCGTCGGAAAACAGCCCCTAAATTGAATCCCCAGGCAATTCAACACCCAACCCACCAAAATTCCAAAATCAAATGCAGGATTAACACAAATAAGATCCTATTCTAGAATTAATGCTAACGATAGATATTTGGGCAATGAATCACACCTCGATTAACGACGAAACTTGAATTGGATTGGGGGAGGAAGAGGTTGTCGCTGCAACTCCTGGTGCGGCGGAACTGCAGCGCGACGGGGAGGAGCAGGACGATAGTCGGCCAGGGCGACGAGGCTCGGCGGCTGCTGCGCGTGGCTCTCCCTAGCAGATAGCACGGCGAACGGAACTCGGCAGAGGAAAGCGACGGAAACGTACGAAAGACAGAGAATGTCTCATCAGGAGGTGGCAATGGGTTCAACCGGATCGATTTCGGGTTGGATTTTTTCAATTCGGATATCTTTCGGTTATATGTTATAATCGCTTCGGTTTGAATCGGATTGATTAAATTTCGGTTCGGATTTGATTCGGTTCTATACATTTTTCGGTTCGGTTTCGAGTCGGTTCAGTTACGGTTCGATTATAAATCGATTCGTAGAGATTTTGGTTCGGATACAATTTGAGTCGGATATATTTCGGTTTTGGGTCTAGTTCGGTTCGGATATATTTTGGTTTCGGGTCAAATATATTTTGGATATATATTATTTTCTAATTAAAATTTAACTATTCATGTTTGTTTTTACGGAGTATGTTTTATCACATTTATCAATCTATCATTAATACAATACCTCATATTATTTTATATTTTTTTCTAATTATATTATCCCTACCCTAAAAAATCCTCTCTTTTTGACTTTTTAGTCATATTTTACAAATTTGGACTACAAATTATGAAAACATATATATTTAATTATGATATAAATTTAATATAATTAAATTGTTTTTAAAATTTCGCTTTGAACTATCAATTTTTCTCACATCTACTAATATACTAATGTTTATAAATGAAAAGATAAAAGATAAATTCAAATAGTGTTATGTTCCATTTGAATACAATTTGGTAAAAATTAAGTAAAATTGGGTAAAATTAAGTGAATTTTATTCAATTGAGTGCAAAATTTATAAATTATTGAGTGTATTTGGTTGAAAATAGATAAAATTAAATTTAATAGAATCAAATATAATTAGTTTTACACCTAAATATAATGGTGTAGATCAAATTTGAAAATGATAACACTAAATGCTATCGCTAGAGAGTCTTTTTAAAATGCTAACACTAGCATCTAATTTTATTGACTAATATTGAGTGAATTGGTTTGAAACTAATCAAATTAACTCTCAAATCAATAAATTTTATTGCAAAGGGATGAAATTAGGATAAAATCTAGTTATTCCATACAATTTATCATATAATCCTTTTGTCCCAAAAGAATATCACACTTCACTATTTAAAAATTACGAAAATTTTATTTGTTTGTGCGTTATCATTTATATGTATAACTTATCTTTAATTTCTACATATAATAAATTTAAGGCATGAAATTTTGTACTTTTTTCAAGAAGATAATCCATTGGGAATGAGCAAGTAATATAATTAAATCAAATGGTAAAATAAAAGTAAATATTTAAAAATATAATATGCTTATTGAAAGGCAAACATAGATCCGAATTTATCGATTTTAGTTCTAATCGGGTTCGGATATTATCGGTTTCAGATTTAATCGGTTTCGAGTTTATCAGTTTCGGGTATTATCGGTTTCGGATCTAATCGGTTTCGGGTTTAATCGGTTCGGATATTATCTATTTCGGATACAATTAGTTTCGGGTTTAAATCGGGTATGAATTATTTAGTTTGGTTTCGGTTCGATTCAAATCATTTCGGGTTTTCGGTTATAGATCGGATCTTCATTTTTTGGGTCATTTCAGTTTCGATTTCGGATATTTCGGTTCGGGTAATCGGTTACGGTTCTATTTTGCCAGGTCTACTCATCCGTAACCCCCATATTTAATACTCCCTCTGTCCCTAAATATTTGTCACACTTGTATTCTCGAGATAAAATATCAAGTTTTTTCAATTCATTTTATTTACATAATGGTATAGAAATAAAAAATAAAAGTTACATATCAAAAAACTACATGAAAAGTTCTTCGGAACAAGTGGTGTCAAGTATATTTTAATTTATCAAATAACCAATGAAAATGTAAAAATAAACAAAAGTTCCCACGACTGCTGAAAAAGCAAATGGTGCAAATATTTTGGGACGGAGGGAGAATAAAAATTAAATATATATAGGGTCCAATTTACACTTTCTAACCAGTTACGATAAATTTAAGCACAATTACCTTATTCGACAGTCGTATCGTGGGCCTTGTAAGTCCGATTCTCAATCCGTTTGCGCGGTCGGGTTCAGAACAACGAGCCCTATAACGTAGCTCAACTCTTGTATTAAATATACAAATTAGAAAATAATCTTCGTTTTGACCAACTCAGTAATTAATTAATTAAATAAGCTAATTAAAAATAAACATATATTTTTTCCCAATGTTGTACTTAAATTTTTGTTTCCCTTAAATAGTACTCCCTCCGTCCTATAATGTTCTTCCCACACACTTTTTACACGGTCAAACTTTAATCACTTTCTTTACCTATTTTCATTAGGTATTTGATAAAATAATATAGTCTTGTCACCACTTGTTTTGTAGAACTTTTGATGTAGTTTTTAAATATATAATTTTTATTTTTTAGTTTTACACCTACAATCAAATAAATTGAATTGAAAATAAAGTCGGTCAAACTTCGTAAAATGAACCGGGAAGACCATTATAGGACGGAGGGAGTACTTGAATAATGTCGAGTGGCTGAAACATTGTCTAGTGATGGTAGACATTTAGTTTGAACAATGTCCAGTGGCGCTAGACATTTATTTGAACAATGACTAGTAGATATTAAACAGTGATGCTACATTGAGAAATAAAAACATATGGTAGTACATTAAAAAAATCATTATGTTTTAATACGGAATATTATTTAGGTAAATTCCTCAAATAATTTTGGATCGTCTGATAGTTCCATCATGTTAAATTAAAAGTAGGGAATTCAAAGCTACAATGGAAGATAACATAATATTAATATAGATGCAAATTTAGTCCAAAAAATTATAGTGTTGTAAACACCAAACTAAAGACTAAGCATGCACACATTTTCATGCACTTCCTAGTTTTTTTTACACGGCATTACATATTGCAAAAGTATAATGTTCAGATTTGTCTTTAACATGAGGTTTTTTTTAACATATAGGGAGTAATTAATATAATATTCTGTAGCTAGAAGAAGGAGCGCTTGACAGGAGGTCTTCCCACAGCTCTCATGAGGTTGGCTAATTCAACAATACCGGCCACTTTGGTTCCTCTCTTCCCCTCCGCGGAAGCTCTTCTTTCTTCTGCTTTTCTCCGAGATTTCGCAATGTCGTTCTGCATCTTTTCTAACGCTTTTGCCCTCTTCTCCTCCAGTTTCCTCTGCGATGTCGTAAAATATCTAATTCAAGTTAGCGGGACATTTCATTATTATGCCTTCATTTAGTCAAAGTATAATAGGATAGATCATCTCATTTTTCTCTGTTTTTTTCTTTCTTTCTTTCTTCCTCATCATCAACATGGTGTGAGAGAGATTCTAGTATGAGTCTAAACTCAACCTTTCATGGGTGTTCAGCCACATAACTTTTTTGTTTGATCTGGTTCTTAATCACATGGTCTTGAAATCATGTTGAGCTACAAGTAGTTGCGAGTTTAAACCTCACTAGTCTTACCTGTTTAAACAATGTTCATGTTCCTGACTGGAGTAGAGATAGGTCTTTTCGATCAACATATGTGGTGAGTTCGTCGTAGTGTTGGAGTATATAATCCTTTTAATTTGATCGAGTGTTAACTACAAACATGACATTTTGATTAAGTTTGTTCTTGAGTAGACCCTAACAAACAGGGCAAGCAATGTATCATGTTTGTGCTAAATTTCTAACATACTCACCCATTACTCCATTAGGTAGATATATTAAAATTTAGGGAGAAAGACCAAAGTAGGACTAAAACATTGAAAATATACCAAAATAGGACTTCCATGTTTTTATTCCCGAAATAGGACTTACATTACCAAACATGATCATATACATTACCAAAAAAGTATAGTAATGTGCACATGTACACTGCCACATGACCACAGTGCAAAGTCACATTACCACAGTGCAAAGTCCTATTTCGGGAAAAAAAACATTAAAGTCCTATTTTGGTATTTTACTCTATGTTTTAGTCTTATTTAAGGTGATTTCTATAAAATTTAAGTACCTCCCGTGTATTCTAGGTGAGAAATAAACTTGCCGCATGAGTAGCTCATCTGGTCCAAGGAGAGGATGTCAAGTCGTTAATCCTAGGATTGAATCCTGGCAGCGGCAGTGTGGGAATTGAATCCTATTGTGTGTAATAGTTCCTTGTACGCACCGGACACGGGACGGCCTCTCTAAAAACTAGATCTAGATTATATCATGATTTACCCCGATGTAGGGAAGCCTAGTGTGGGCGTTCCACCTTTAGGTGAGAAATAATTTGTAAAGTTGAGTTTGTTGACTTTAATAATGTTTTACTGCTTTTGCTTTCAAATTAAATTTCTATTTCTCTTATGTCTATACTCCTCTACTTTTAAGAATTTTAAGAATAAAATACTTCCTCTGTGTTTTTATCCACTCTTTTGAGACAAATTTTAACTATGTTATATTTTCTTAAATTTTATGAAGTCAAACCTTTTATTTACTCCCTCCATCCCAGAAAACCTTTCTTTTTTCATCCATCCCAAAAAACACTTCTCGTTTCTATCAAAAAGTCACTTTTACCCCTTACTTTTGCATACCATACCTATCACATCATACCTTTTTATTAATAATCTATTCATCAAATCATACTTTAATTACACATCACATCAAAGGACATTTTTAGAAATTCAATATCAAAATACACTCCCCTTAAATCCCTCCCCAAAACCAAAACTTCCATATTTTCCAGGACGGAAGGAGTACATTTCCATTTCTTTGCTTAGTTTATTCCCTAGTTAAAAAAACATGTCCAAATTATTTCTCCCTCTTTTTTAAAAAATAGTTTCAATTTTGACTTTGCCAGATTCATTTTTATAACTTGACTTTATAATTATATCTTTAGCGTCAAAGAGAAAAGAGAGATACTCCCTCCGTCCCAAAAAGAATGTTCCATTTCATTTTTTTGCGCATCACAAAAAACACTGCTACTCACATCTAAAAATTCTAAAATTTACCATATTTACTCTTTATTATAAGATGAAATTGTTTTGAAAGTTTTTTTGGCATTTGAGACGATATAAAAATGTTTTAAGGGATGCGCAAAAAATGAAACGTAATATTCTTTTTGGGACGGAGGGAGTACTTCCTCCGTCCCCCAGTTTTTGTCCACTTTTAACTTTTGGAATTGTTCATTTAAGCACTTTGACTCATCAAATTCTCTCAATGTGTAAGCCTAAATATAGTCATGTGTGATCTTGTTTGATTTGTCTTAACATATAGATTATTAATATATAATTTCTATAATTTTTTAATATACAAATTACAAGATAAAATAGATTAAGGAAGTGCATTGGATGGTGTGTAAAAATGAAAGTGGACAAATACTCTGGGACGGAGGGGGTAAGTCACTAAATAAGTTATTGTATCAATGCAAAATGGATGAATTGTAGTATATTGCAATGACTTCATTTGAATATATTAATCATTTTATTTAGAAGTTCAAATATTTTGTTGAAAAATTAAATAATGAAAAAGAAAGTATTTTACTCCTTCCATTCTAAAAACTCTTCCTATTTCATTTTTTTCATTCTAAAAAACTCTTCCTATTTCATTTTTTTCACTTCCAACAAAACACTTCCACTTTCTATTAAAAAAACACTTTTATCCTTACTTTTTTATATCATACCTATCACATCATACTTTTTCTCTAATACTCAATCCATCACATCTTACTTTTACTCATCACATCAAGGGCAAAATTGGAAGTCAACTACAATTTAACATTTTTTTATTTTTACACAAAGTCAAAATAAGAACACTTTTATAGAATGGAGATAGTAAAAAACAGAAGGAGCACAAGTAATTAATTTGTCAACCATGCTAGGTGGTGTACACCATGAGAGTATCACCCTGAATTAAACCCTTGGCAAGTAGCTTTATACTCAATAATATGCAGTTCATATCCTTTGTTTTGTAAGTTTATTGCTCCGTAAAATTTTAATTATTACTTTAAGCAAATAAGTAAAGAAATATTTGCACTAAATAGCACTAAAACTTAAGCCATTTTTCTAAATAGTATTTAAATTGTTTTATTCTCTAAATAGCAATTAATACTGTCCATAGTGTCTAGTAATGGTGAATATTTACTTAAATAATGACTAATGTATAATTGGAAAGAAAAACACATATGATGCTGTTTAGAGAAAAATTATTACTCCCTCCGTCCCCATAGATCTTCCCAATAGCCCTTTTTCTTTGTCCACAATAGATCTTCTCATTTCATTTTTTAACAATTAAAATACCACAACTACTCCCACTTACTTTATTTATTACACCTCACCCACCTCATTTAATACACTCTACCCATTTTCATTAAAGGTATTATGGTAAACTTTCACCTTTTTTCAACTCTTCTTAAAAACCACAAAAAATCAAAATAAGAAAATCTTAGTGGGAAGAAGAGAGTATCTTTTAGTGCTATTCAAGTAAATTATTATTGGAAGGAAGAAAAAAGACAAAGGTTTATTATTATTGGTAAAGTAATGCGCACCTCAACTTTCTTCATCCATGAAGTTGCCTTCTGAACCTCTTCGCTCTCCCAGCCGTTGATAATCGCATCTTCCCTCTTAAACCTATTATTAATCTTTGCGATTTTCGCAGTTTCCCATGCACTAATCTTCGCCTCCACCTCTTCTCTCTTCACCATCTGAACCGTCGCCTCTCCACTGACCATGGCCGCCGACGACGACGACCCGCCGCCGGCGCGTCTAGGCGACGCCGCCCCAGCGGTATCCGGCACGATAGCCAAAGGGTTGGTCTCCCGATACGGCGGCTCCTCCTCGTCTTCCCCAATCATTTCCAAGTTATTATGAGCACCTTCGTCGCGGAGCTGATCGGCGATCGAGGATCCGGCAACAACCAAAGCGTTGAACTCTCGGCTCATGCTGGTGAAGTTGTCGCTGCTTGCGACGGAGAGAGATGAAGCCGATGATCTCGCGCGGGTGGTTCTCTCCGGTGGTGGCTGCCGCGGCGGAGTCAGGGCGTGGATCTCTCTAATCAGCTCCTCTTCTTCTTCATGGTTGGCGTGACTGCTGCTTGCTATGGCTAGTTGCAGTTGATCATTATTATTCAGCATCTTTTTTGGGGGGGAGTTTTTTGACTTGTCTTTATATTCTTGTTTTGTTTGTAGCTTGGGTGTAAGTATGCGGATAATAATAATTACTACTCGTATAATAATGGTGGGAGATCGAGGGAAGAGTGTCCACTATAATCATGCTTGTTGTTTATGCTAACTTTGATTTAAAAAAATTAGATAATCCCTCTGTCCACCATATATCTTTCCAATAGTTCTTTTTCTTTGTCCACAATAGATCTTCTCATTTCATTTTTTAACAAGTAAAATACCACAACTACCCCCACTTACTTTATTTATTACACCTCACCCACCTCATTTAATACACTCCACCCATTTTTCATTAAGGGTATTATGGTAAACTTTCACCTTTTTTCAACTCTCCTTAAAAACCACCAAAAGTCAAAATGAGAACATCTTAGGCGGACGGAGGAAGTACATTTTAAACAAATAAAAATTATAGATATTGATAATCAATACTATGTATATATTAAAACTACATTTTAAACGAATTAATTATTTTAAATTTACATTATGCTCTAATTAAAATTACAATAATCCGATTTTGATAATAAAAATAAGTGACTCTTATTTTTTAAAAAAAGCGCAGCTGCTATATTTTATTTTTATTTTGGTTGATTTTCTTAATTACACGGAATAATTAATATTAGTGGTTGTATTCCTAGAAATCACCCCTAATAGGACTAAAACATTGTGTTTATCCCTAAAATAGGAGTTCATGTTTTTTATCCCCCAACTAGGACCTCTCCCGCCATATTCTTTCTTTCTCTCCCGATTTTGCCCTCCTTTTTCTTTCCGCGTCACACTTCACAATCCTGCCCCGTCTACATTACAACTCTTTGTAATA